TGCAGCCTGCAAGACACCAGGGGTTTGAGCTTGGATTAGGTTTTGTCGTTTCAAGCCATAGTCATAAAGCCTGAGATGTTGCAGGGGCATCTGAGACTTCTCTGTCTTGTGCTATCACGTTTCAGTGGAGCGATGGTTGGTGTCCTAATCAGCTCCATGGGCATAATTTGATGGCTCGTGTCGCACCAGAAGCGTTTTGTCCTGAAGCTTTGGATCCCATGAAAGCTCGACAAGTAAAGTGCCTGGTGAGGAGAACGCATATACTTATGTATATACTTATGCATGTATGAGCGCATAGCATACACATGTACACCTACATGCATGTGTATGTTTGTTATACAAAGCTAACTTATAATATATTATAACCTAGTATAAGATATAATGCAATATACCAAAATATAATATCTTAAAAACACGATGTAACACGAATCTGTATTATGATGCAATGTAACATAATGTAACCTAGCATATTGCGAAATGTACTGTAATACATAGCATAAGATAATGTGCTATAAAAAAATTGTGTAGTAAGACCGTACAGTATGATGGATATTGCAATATAATGTTTTGTAAGATAGTATGAATATTATGTTATGAGACATAATATAACACAACATAACAATACATGTATAGCGTGATCTCAACTAACATAATGCAGGTGTGCATATGCATATATATATATATAGTTGTGATGTGTGCTTCGGTGTCTATATACATGTACATATAGACATACATATATGTATGATTATGCATGTATACATGTTGATTCATCGATTGACCGTCGTCTGTCTAAAATTAAAACCTCGCAGGATTTTTAAGTATGTTCTGTCTCTTTCGCTCTTCAATATATGTGTATATATATATCTATATGTACACACACGGTTCTTTGTGTACATGTGCGTATCTATACACATGTATAGATCTTTGTGCAGATAAAATGGATGCTCATCGTGCGCATTTAGCCATAGAGCCACGAAGAAGATGCAACAGTTCTGGGTTAGGTTGCTTGGCTGTGTGGTCCTGTCTGTATCTATCGTGATGTCCTAGGCACTATCGTGTTTAGAGTATTTAGGACTCGAGCAAGCGAGATTATTTTGGGCCACTCACGGCAGACAAGGTACTCCGAGAACTGCTCGTTTTCCCGTTTTCCCACTGCATTTTCGCTCGTGTCGATTTTTTCTGGGATCATCCAAGCTGCAGATCCTTGCACGAGAGGACCAACCCAGTGGATCCATGGGCTATGCACGCAAGGATGTCAGCTCCTTCACGCCTGGTCAGCGCTGCTCAGACTGCCATGAGGGTTTCGATTGTTGAACTGACTCCTGAATTGCATTCGTTCGGCATGAAGATTCAAATCCTTCCCTTTCGGTGAGATGTGCGGTGCTGACTTCTCAAAGGTCTATGGTCTCTCTTCTATTACTGTGTAATTTGGCTGCTTCCACAAACCTCCTGGGTTTACGAATGTTAAGTCAGATGATGTCAGATGTCGTGCGTTAAAATTACCTGACCCGGGTTTACACAGCTTTGTCTCAGGCAAACGCTTGAATGTGGTGGCGATCACCATCAACATTTTAGCACCGTGGCTCCTCTTCTGCGGCACCCTGGCTTTCTAGCCAGGCAGAGTACCGCAATCGTCACGGTATTGAGTTGCGCTTGTGAATGTGGCTGCTCCGTACCTGTTTGTGCGTAAACTAGAGTCCATCTGCAATGGATTTGCGTAGAACTCGAAGATCCTTAGAATATGATGATGCCAAAAGAAGTGCCGCAATGTGCCCATATACCACCACGAGAACCGGTGCTACTGCTACAGCTACTGCTACCGCTGCTACTACTACTGCTACTATTACTACTACTACTACTACTACTACTACTGCTACTACTACTGCTACTACTACTACTACTCCTACTACTACTACTACTACTACTACTACTACTCGCTGCGAACTGGTTGTGCGTCTAGTTTTTGGTTTGGCAAGTTGTCACTGGATGTTTGAGCGAGTGCGTGAAGAATTGCAGTCATCATGACAGGTGACTTTTCCCCAGAGGTGCAGTCTGGCCGATGATTGTTTTGTTATGCGCTGTTGCTTTTGGGATGCTGGATTTTTTTCTGGAACATGGATAGTTAAGACCCCGCAGTGCTGTCGACGGTGTGCCAAGTGGGTGACAAAAACTACTACTCCTACTGCTACTTCTACTGCTACTTCTGTTACTAAACATATAATAATCAGACTACGACAATGACTATGGCTGTGGCTACAAAGAAGACTACTACTTGTACTGCTATCGCTTCTACTGCTGCTGCTTGTACAACTGCGACTGTCACTACGACTGCAACGACTACTGCTAGTAAGACTAGCAACGGCGACTGCCACAAGCACTACAAGCAAGCAGCAACAGCAGAAGCAGCAGCAACTGTAACAACAACAACAACAACAACAGCAACAGCAACAGCAACAGCACCAGCAGCAGCAGCAGCAGCAACAACAACAACAAAAACACCGAAACTGTCAGCAAAACTAACAGCAGCAATGACAGCCACAACAACCGCGGCCACGACGAGGACGACGACTAGTGCTGCTACCGTACTCTGTTTGTCCTTGCTTCACCGCAGCTTCCGGCCCTAGTTCGAGCAACGGTGCACGCAACCGCAGTTGTTGTCGGCATGCTGTTAGTTCTCTGTTTGCCAACTGCCAGCAAGAGTGGGTGGAGTAGTGCTGCAACACTACCTGAGCTTTCTGCAGTCGACTGTGAAGAGTCCAGAGTGCATTCGAGGCATCTTCGCAGCGCTGCGGCTGGACTGCAGCATCAAAGACTCACAGATTTCGCAAGGATTATGGCACTTAAAACGGTGCAGCCGTTCGGGGTGTGCTCCGGATATGTTTGGGGTTCTGATGCCACATGAGCATGATCCCGGCGGCCTTCTGTGGTGCCAAGAGGACTTTCCATGGTTCCTACAACCGTTTGGATGTGGTAGTTGCACTGCAGTCACAGAGCCTCATTCGTGCACTTTCGAACACTTTGAAGCCCTGTCAATGCGTAGAGTCATAGTCATAGAGCATCTATAGCCTGCCTCTGAGACCGATAGATGATGCCCATCCAGCAGATAGCAAGAGACTGTGCCACTTCTGTGCGTGGTAGCTTTGGGCATCTTGCAGTAGGACAGTGTCGCTGTCGCACCGGTTCTCAAATGATCCCCCAGTTTTTGTGACTTCAGGGCTGAAACAAATCGAGGTCTTTTCAGCTGCATTACTACCACCCGGTGCTGGCCTGGTCTTGCGCCGGTGCTGGTCTGGTCCTGGCTGCAGTGTGTGCCTTCCTTGCGCACAGGCGCCGCCCAGGGGCGAAAATGGCTGGATTTGCCTTCCCCTTGGTGTCTTTACCCCTCTGATTAAACTGGACTTGTTCCGTGGAGTGTCCAAGAATCAGGGTGGGGGATTCTTGTGTGTTTGAACCAGGCCGTTGTTGGATCGTGCTTAGCATCGCGGGTCTAAAGTGTTCCAAGATGGTGATGACGATGACGATGCGGGGTGATGGTCGTGCTGGCTGTAGTGACAATGTCTATTGTCATGCTGGATGACGGTCGTGATGACGCTGATGCCGAACCAAGCAGACGAAGGATAACTTGCATCATAGGTTCGTCCTAGCCAGGCGGGAGGCAAAAAAAGATAACTTGAATCACTTGAATGCTACTCATGACAATGCTCATGGATCTGCAGGCACAGCCGCAGCTGCTAGTGATAATCTTAACCACAAGGATGCTCAGGGTCATGGCGCGCGCCGTTCAAGGTACTGGCCGGATTCATCAGAATCGCACTGTTTAGAGCTTGAGAACCATCTGCGCCGAAATTCCAACCACTGCTTCATGAATCTTCCTGCGTACATCAGAAGTGGCCGAGGAAACGTGCAGCCAGCTAATACAGGCAGGTGCATCTGTTGATGCCGTAGCAGCTGCTGCAAGTTGGAAACCGAGAGATGACAAAACCAACACCGACAACAACAGTGGCAGCAACAACCACAACGGCAACAACAACGGCTCTTGTTCCTGCTCCTCCTGCTGCTGCCGCCGCTGCATCGATCTACCGCTCTACCTCTATGTGTAGATATCTATAACTGTCTATTTGTCCATCGACCGATCTGTCTGTCTATCTATCTATCTACCGATCTATGTTCTATCTGTCTATCTACCTACCTACCGATCCATCTATCTATCTGTCTATCTATCTGCCGATGTACCTGTCTATCGATCCATCTGTCTATCTGTCTATCTATCTGCCGATCTATCGATCTATCTGTTTTATCTACCTGTCTATCTATCTATCTATCTACCGATCTAGCTACCTATCTTTCTTTCTTTCTAACTATCTATCCATTTGTTTATCTATCTCTCTACGTACACTAGCGGTCACTAGTGCCAATTACCAGCATGTCGAGCATCACTATCACCACCACCACCACCTCGCCTTTCTGACAAGACATGTTTCCCACTATCAACATCAACTGTAAACATGCACTAGCGTCGGTAGCACACGAGAAGCTCCAGAACTGTGAAGCATGCGTCGAGAAGTATGTGATGGCGCTGGAGTTAGATTATTCACGGACTTGCAGCAGCTGCTGTTGTTGTCTAGTTTGCGTTGTGGACCGCCTGTCATAAACAGTTTAGGTCGAAATAGCTGCTAGAAGCTACACAATTTTCTTTCATAATGCAGCCCTGCAACGTTCAAGTACTATGCATAGCAAAGGGCGATTGAGTCTCGCCCATGGCTTGCGGCTGAAAGAAGGTTTCGAGCTTCCAGCGCAAGGTTTCTGCAAGCAGCACTTCCCCAGCCCAAACGCCCCACTATAAGACTCTGACACAATTTGAGGACAGACGATGTCCCTAGTCTCACTCAGCGCCGTGGGTTGAGGGCGGAGGCTTGAGGATTCAATCGTCAGTTTCAGCTTCAGACGCACTGCAACCTTTGCTTCTAGAGTAGCAGAACGTACGAACACGCAGGAGCCGGATGCAGGAGCAGGATCCGACATGGTGCACTTTTGCCGCTATGGCGCGGCTCGGCTGAGATGTGTAATTAGAATGAACCAGACTCCACCACGTCACTGGAAGCCCCCAAGCCCTAATGTGTGTGAGCTCGAGCATCGGCAACCGCATGCACAGAACTTGGGTCAAAACGGCTCTCACCTGTCTCTTGGGTGGTTGAAATCATCAGCACAAACCATCGCCTGCACACCAGAACCAGATCCAACACAAGAACTACTTGTACCACCACCACCGGCGCTACCGCAACAAGCAGCACCTCATACCAGCACTGCCAGTACCAGCAGTATGCCACCATTGCAATTACCGGCGAAAGAAACCACCCACCATCACCGACCATGCCAACGACAGTGCTGTAGCAGTTCCATACTGGTTCAGTTGATGGTCCAAAGCCAGTCACTCACTGAATTTGCGATAAGCTTTGGGTCCTAAATCCGCTTTCATACAACTTCTATAAAGGCAGAGAGCTGGTGGCAGCGTCTTCAAACCGACCCAATGCTGACTGCGGATGTGCGCCTTCCTGCATCACACTGAGCATCATGTTGAGGTACTTGGCGGCAACCGTGTTGGCCGCCACGTTGGGTGACTGGGCACGTTGACAAGAATCTTTTCGCATTGTCTATACAGCCAACAGATGCGCCGCGGAGTCGAGCCCCCTCGTGAAAGGAACCTGGTAACTTGCTTCGCAGTCATAGTCATAGGAGTTCGACTTCAGCTTCTGGCCAGGCGACACGAATTATTGGTACCACATGCAACCATACTACGTCGCTTGACTTCAGCAGCCCAGACTGTCAGGTGCTGGGCGGGTGAGACCAGAATTGTCACGTGCAGACGTGTTACGAGCAGAGCCGGATTTCACGTTGTTTTTATTGTTAATTCATCAGATCACCGCTGTTTCGGGTTGTGATGCTAGGGTTCAGTACCGTGACTACTTGTTTCTGTTACGGCAGATGTGAAACTTGAACTGTACTCCGCCGTGTTCGGACCTCGTGCTTGCTTGTTGCGCAGTTTTTCCGGATGTTGAGACATTTTCTGGACAATCCCGCCGAAAAGCCTAACTGCCCGAATCTAAGGCTTCCCTAAAGGCTCATGTCATGTGCAAGTGTGAGAGCCGAAATGCTCAGGATTTAGCAGCAGTGAGGACCATTCAAAAGCTCATGCACCACTTTGCACGAAACCTGAATGAATTTGCCTCTGCAGGGCACCTTGTGAGTATTCTCTCTGTAGGTTTGCCTTAGTTCTGATCAGGACATCGAGAACATCAACTCCTATCCTGATGTTAGTCCTGCTCGTGAGCGAGGCGCCTGTGTTTGATGCTATTGGGTCTCAAAACCAGGAACACGAGCTGTGACGCAGCACTATAAGCCTGCATGATAATCAAACACCTTAGCAACGACAAAATCATAGACGTAGAAGGAATGAAAGCCTGCAGTGAGCCGCAGTTGAAGAAAGCTACAGCTACAGAGTGGGCAGTTACGGTAAGGAAGGAGATACGTCGAACGTATTTCGACCTGTGGCTTTCCTAGCTGGGCTGTTGGCAGGGGTCCATGTCATGAATTTCGGCTGTTCTGGTACTACGGTAGCTTGAGAGATTTCAGGTCGGCCTCAGCCGTCAGCGGGAAGATCGACATGTAGCCGCCTATGTCCAAAAAAGGTCACAGGATTCACAGACACGTGAAGCATCAAGTACCGACTAGGCTGAGAGGAGGATTCGAGACGATCTCCGGCATTAAGATATGGTCCAACTGCCCGCCCAACGTGAACTAGAACTACCACAAGAGCACGGTAAAAGAAGCTTGCAACCTTCAGGAGTGTAGAGCTCCTGACTTACCGAGTTCCGAGTTCCGAAGGTCCCAGATATCACAGCCCCCCCCCGCACCCAGATTGGAGCCGTGTTTCAGTGGCCCAGGCCAGCAGCTGATGGATGCAGGACGCGTCTATTTCGAAGATGGGGCGTCTCTGGACGTGAGCAAGTCCATGTCCTTCAAGAACTTGGAGAGGCAACTCTCGTTCTTAACGACCTGTTGAGTGGAGGTTGCAGGGGGATCCGGTGGCCTCAGACTCTCAGAGGCATATGGCCATTTTGAGACTGAAGCATGCGCTTGTGACCCATAGTAGGCCGCCAAGGCCACCAGTTGCAGTCAAGAAGCACTCGCAAAAGCCTGCAAAAGACAGAGGTTTTTGGGAGTTTCGAGCTTCAAGGACTTAAACTGAGTGAAAAAATGGCGTTGGAGTTTTCGAACCATTGTAGAATTCTTAGTCATGTCACGAGAGGTATTGTAACTTTAACCAATTAACCGCAGACCACGAGCAAAACAAAGCATTTTTGGGTTTTCAGAAAGAAATGTGGGCTTCATAAATCAAACTCAACAGACAGGAACCAGTTGTTATTGTACTCCGGAGCCTGGTCGTATGGATCCCGACAATCCCCGACAGAGGTACTGTGTTGCCCCCATCATCAGTGGAGCAGCGCCGCTCTCCTCCTACGACTTTTGGGCGGTCGGCGTCAACTGCTGCGGCTACTGGGACTGAGCACCTGTTACTCTGGAGTTTTGGATTTGAAGTTTGCCCGAACTTCGCGTGGCTTACTGAGATGCTGAGAATCGACCTGAACTGAAAGTGGACGACTGGAGGGCCTGTCATTTCTCAAACTTTTCGGACCTACTTCGAACCTGTGCAACCGGCTTGCACGCTCATAGAAAACAAAACAAGCACAAACGGTTGTGCATGCATCGTGAAATCTCGCAAACACATAAACCCCAGAGGCTTCGAGGGAGCTCAGACAACTGGAAAATGAGGCTGATCGCAAGAAAGCGCTCGCGTAGTGGCCGCCGGATCACCGGATGGCAACAACAAAAAATGTTCGATGCCTTGGCATGGAGTGGAAGAAACACTTGAAACTGAAGCCCTTCTGTGTGCTCAGCACAATCCCACCGTTTCGGTTTAATTTTGGTTCTTGAATGACTCCTATAGTTATGTCCTATCTAAATCTATGTTCTGGGTGCGGAACTTGGCCCGCCTTTCCTAGGCGGCGCCCGAGGAGACTTCCGCTGCGGAGAGCATCGTGGAATGAACGGCTGAGTTGTGTAAATCGACCTCCGAATGCGAAATTCCTTCAACTTGGACCCCAGGGTAGAGAGTCCATGATGCTCAAACTCAAGCACCCAAGTTTATATTCAGGTGTGTTGGAGGTCACTTTCCATGCAGTAGTTGGTGCTACTCAGGCCTTGCAGGAAGAAAGCCCCATTGACCAGCTGAAACATTGGCCCGAGACCCACTTGAGTATGTGAGCATGTAAGCATGTATGTCTGTCTGTTTGTTTGTCTGTCTGTCTGTCTGTCTGTCTGTCTGTATGTATGTATGTATGTATGTATGTATGTATGTGTGTCTGTATGTGTGTCTGTCTGTCTGTCTGTCTGTATGTCTGTCTGTCTGTATGTATGTATGTATGTACGTACGTGTAGAAATTTGTTGTCTGTTCGTAGGAAGGAAGGTAGGTGAGTAGGTGGGTAGGGAAGTGCAAAGGCAGACGGACAAAGATACCAAATGCAGCACATACAGGTATTATAGACGCACATCAACACATATCAACATCCAGCCCACAAACCGACACACACACACACTCACAAACAAACACACACACACACACACACCCACTGACCGTGGCAGCTATGTAAGTTCCCACATGCGCACCACGTCATCATGCACGGCGCCTCGCATGACTGGAACCACGTGAACGCGCAACCTCCAGTGTTAAAGTCACACGAACCCGGGCCTATCAGCCGCCTGCACTGTCCACCGGACCATGAAGGATGGTGTGTGCTGGAATGTTCCTGCACTCGCTACCGTTTGCACCACCACCACATCTTGATCGTCATCCTCGCTGTCACGACCTCAACAATCCGTTCAGCCATCAACCAATCAATCTGTTAAGCACAAACAACAATGCGGGAGCAGAAACATCACGACGGCAATGAAGACGACGAGCACAACACCCGACAGTCATCGTGGTCATCATGACACCACTAATCGTTACAAACCTTCATGCCGTCCCACGAACAGCACCCACAAGACCACACCATCGTCATCGCCGAAAGTAGCACCGCGTTACGCTTGTGTTGAGGTACAACAACCCGAAGGCCCGCGCAGGGCTGCGCTTGATGCGCGATGACCAGAGGCGGCAGTGTTGTGGGTTCGATGAAGTGTTCGAACTTCGTCACGGTGTGTCCGAAATTGATCTCAAGGATTCCGCGTGAAAGTCTTCCTGATCATGAGCTTGGACATATATTATCCGTTTGTTGACTTCTGCTTTCGTGGCTTTGTAAGCTTGGAGCATCTTGGAGTAGTTGGTGCCTTCCACTGTGTTGAGAGCTCTTGCTTTTCGCCTGTGGTCTGAGAGGGCAGAGCTGAGCAGAACCGCATTCAGGACATTGTGCCTGAAAGGCTTCTTCTTCTTCAATGTTCGAATTCAACCACAAATCTGCTCACCTGACGAAGCTTTAAGAGGATAGACAGGGAAGCACCTTGAACGCGAGTTGCAAATCTATGCTTGTTTCTATTTAGCACTCTACTGCTTATGGCTTAGGACTTGTTGTTTCCTTTTGATCCATGTCCCCGCACTGGCGACACGGAACAGGTCTTGCATTCGAAGAGGGGTTCCACCTTTGCAGCCCGAAGGTGTCCATCTCAAACTGAGTGTGCATCTCGCCAAAGCGTATTTCCGAAATATACCCGCTGCATCTATACTGGGAATTGCGCCAGGGTGCCTGGTTCTCACGTGGTCGAAGACTCGACACATTTACGGTTTGGAAGAAAGGACCGACAACGGTGCGCACTCAACCCTAGCCCTACCCCCCGAAGTAGTTGAGACGAACAACTCCAAGCCCTATCTAACCCCATCAAAGCTCCCTCGCAGAGTTGCTTCTTGATTTTGGTTCAGGCCGTTCTTCCGGCTGGCAGTGCAGCAGGCCGAAGCGGCGTACAACATCAAGGACGGTGTAGTTTTCGCAGTTTTGTCCGCTAGAATGAGAGCATCCCGTTTGCCAGCTGAGGCGAGCCATCCGCTCTTCTTCCACTGGATGCAGGATCGAGAGGGCTTCATTCAAGTGGAGGGGAAGCTTCATCCAGAGTGTTTTCTGTGTCGCCTTGTACGTGTACGCCTGTGTATGATCTACCTGCTACATGCAATATGACAGGATCACTGATCTGCTGGTTTATGGTTTTGCGCACGAGGCAGGTGATGGCGATGACAATCTGTAAGGGTGTGATGATGAACTGGGTTCTCTGGTCAAGGACGATTTCGACTGCCTTCTCCGTAGTTCGTATTTTACAAGAGTTTATTGTCGTTCTTGCCGTAATAAGGATCATGTCATGGGTCATAGCCACAATGCGACAGGAACTCCCTCATGAGCATTGTCATCGTCGGATTGTTTGTTGTTATAACCTTTGCGATATCTTGCCGTTGCCATGGCTCGTGTTAATTTGTATGTCAGCTGTCCTATGCTTGCTGTGTTCTTGCTTGCATGTGTTGGTTCCTGTCGTTTCAAAATAATCATAGTTCGCTTGAGTTTTATCGTGTTCTGAGCAGGATCCAGTCGCTGAGACGATGAGCTACAAAGCCTCAGGCCGGGCTCAGGGAAAGGTCTGCAAAACAGTTAAGGGAGAGACCACTGTGTTTGGTTGTTGGGCTCGCCGGGCCGCGGGCCCGAAAACCTGGCACTTTTGCTCCTTCCCTCCCGGCACCCCAGCAACGGCAAGGCCAAATGTGCCGGAATGGGGGGTAAACCGGGATCGGCCCCGACCCCATCAAAAACGCTCTTTACAAAAAGAATTTATATCACTCAAAATCTGGCCCTGGTTTTTCAAAATTTGCCTGCTCCCTCCTCCTGCGGACAAAGATCGCTTCCTTCTTTGGACACGTGGGTCCCTGAGGGGGTGGAAACTGAGACGCGCGGCGGCGAATTCTAGAAAGTTCTCCGGGACGAGGGGCCAGGCATACTAACGCAGAATCCCCTGGCCGTATCACCGTCAAAGGTAAGCCATAGCTCGGAATTTTGGTTACGGGGTGAGGTTGCCACGGATTTAGAATTTGATTTGAGGTGTCAACGGATGGTCAGAGGTGGGTACCGGTACTATCCTTTCCGGTGTAGCTTCGAGGTACAGTATTACTTATACATGAACAGCCATCACTGTTTGTCTGGCAGTATCATTAGCAGTCGTTGTCGTTCCAGCACGTTTGACACTGACAACGAAAACTCTGGAAAGCCGCAGGTCTGTCCCATGCGCTGATGGCAGTGTCTGGCCACTTTGTGTTCAACCTGCTCTGCGTGGCCGGTGCCAAGCTTAAGAGCGAATCGCAGCGTCTTGAACCTTGGCAATCTGCTTGATAGCAAGCCTTGTTGACCGTCATGATCGAGTTGTGGTAGCAGGGAAACAGAGGTGACTTCGGCAAGCCACATCTGCAAACCAAGCATGGCATTATTTTTACAATCTTGGGTCAGGCATTTAAATTTAATCTTGTCATGCAGCTGGGCCTGCCTGCATGGATTCACTTATACATTATGCGCGCAGTGATGCCCCTGCTGTCAAGTCAGCCATGGCAAGGTGTGTCATGGGCCTTCTCCAAGATCTCGCACAAGTTCTGAGAAGGGAGCAGCTCAGGTCTTGAGACACGGAGACCTGTGCTTGCAACGACTGCAAGGTCTCGAAAAGCTCATTTTAATGCTGATTGCCTGCGAGACAGCGACGAACCCGAAGCTCCCAGCCTAAAGTGCTGCCCTTCAGTCCTGCACAGCAAACGCTAAAACTGGCCACTAAGACTCCATACAAGTAGCTCCAAGCTTTCAAAATCCTTCGTGTACGGCGAATGTCGCTCGGTTCAATCGGCCTCGCGGTCCGAGTTCCGAGTGCGAAACAGGTGTTGAGGAGCACCCCCAGGTAGCCTGACTGCATGGTCTACACTTCTCGTTATTGTGTAACAGTGGCCTCCCCCATTGCGTTTGCGTGTGCAGGCGGTGGCAAAGCCGGAGGCGACGGTACCAGGTACTGCTGCGGGTGGGGGAGGCTGTTTAACGATAGAGTTGACTAACATTGAAGACACAGGATTGCCAGAAAAGCAGCATTGCACTTTGAGCGTCCCCAGCTCGGCACTGTTAGGCTCCTTGTTGTGATGCCACACTTAGACGAATCGGGTTTACGCCGCCTAGGGTCTTACCCCTTGCAGCGATAACTTAAGGTCTCCACCAAAACCACCCCACCAATCACCCAAGAGCCTCGCCTGGCATGCCGAGAGTGGACGCTGTTAACCATGCTTAAGGACGCCGCCCCGCAGAGCCAGACCCTGAACTGCAACTCTTGAGATACAAACAGCTTGCCAGGTGACAGCAGGGCAAAGTGCCAGTGAGCTGCTCGAAAGCAGACCCGAAATGAGGGGCCCAGTGTGTGTTGTACAAAAGAACAGCATCGAGTTGAACAGAGCGCATCTGGTATAAGATATGTGCGTGTGTATCTGGACATGCTTATGAATAGTTATACAGTGTGTTTTACGTACACACACAAACACACACACACACATACATATACATATATATATATAATATATATATATACACACCTACACTTACACACATGTGCACACCTAATTATACGAACTCTGTGCTTGGCGCTGCTAGAGCTGCCCTACTGTCAAGCCAGCTAGTCCCAGCAAAGCATTCCCTGCTGCAGCCCCGCCGCACAAGCTGCTCACGAAGGTGGTGCTGGTGACGGCTACATACGAGACTTTGCATCGTTTGGCGAGCAAAGCTTCAAGAGAGGTGTCTATTGTGCGCAAGACATGGCTCGCACACTCACCACAGGACAAGGATATGTAGCTACTGTAGCTCTTAACTAGCCAGTACACCTGATCCCTTGCCGGGTTTGATCTGGACTAGCAGCAATGGTCGACTTGGACGGAGCCTCAGATGGGTGTCGCCGGTATTCATGTCATCCTATGATGATAACAAGAACCCTGACGAAAACAGTGCGAACATACGGCATCACGAACCACAATTCACGCGAAAGCACCAGACACGGTAAGAGTACCATAGGCCATAGGCACAGTGTAGAGTCTGTGGAGGCTTTGAACCGGCATAGGAACATGCTATCGGACCCTTATCGCTCAAGCCTTACCTGTCTGACCTGCCACAGCTAACTGTGTCACGTGTGGAAGCAGCAAAGCAACTGCGTCGATCGGAGGTGCAGGGGTACTTTGCGCATCGTGGTAAAGATTTGCTTGGTTTTCAGGTTCGTTTTCGGATCAAGCTCTCGAGGAGCCCTCATCTTCCAACAGACACGTGCAGAAAACGTTTCATGTACATGTGAAACTGACCTGCTGAGAGCTGAGGCTGCTGAGGTTCGATGTTTGAACTTGCTTAGCTGGTCTGCTTTTTCCAGCCGCAAGTAATTCGTAGGGCACGAACATCACGCCCAAAGCGAGATGTGAAAGCTTCAGTATGTATATATATATATATATTATATATCTATATATATTTATATTTATGTGTGTATGTATGTATGTATGTATGTATGTATGTATGTATGTATGTATATATATATATATATGAAGTTGCATCGTCTCTAACTGCAATTCCGAGCCTACGATTTGTTTTTGACATTGAGTTCGATGTCCAAGGCTCTGCAGACCCAGATTCTGGCAGGCAGTGCCGCCGGGACAATCGCGGCGTGGATGCTCAGCATTTTCCCGGTCCACCAAAGCTGGCACCTCCAAACTTGTTGGGGTTGCCAAGGTATTGTAGTTTCTGAGCGGTTGTGCAGCCCTTGGGTCAGCTACAGTCAGCCAATTTCAGCATATCGTGGTCTTGGCACAGTAGCAACGCAGAGTAGGAGCTTGCGATCCGGCTGCTTTCTCCATGCAGTCTTTGGGCTACAGTACCGCTGTTGAAGCCCATCAGGACATCATCACACATCCGCTGTCGACGATCAAGACTCGGCTGCAGGTTCAGGCGGGCAAGCTGGTTGCATTCTTCGTACCGGTATCATCGGTACATATCGGTGCTACTATTGAAACTCTGGCTTTCACCGTTGCGGTGCTGGTTGCTGTATGCTGTCAAATTTTCAGTCTAGTTGTCCTTGCTTTCCTGGGCGATTAGGGCCGGCTAGGGCCGGTTGGTCTGGGTTTACGACTGGGCGCAGTTTACTCCAGCGGAAGCTTTCGGTTTCGAGGCTTGGCTTCGGCTGAGTTTTTGTTTACCAAGCTGCCCTCAGCCCGCCATGCGATCATTGCATCGGAGCAAGAACAGCAGAGTGCGACAGCCAAACTCGCGTGCGACGCAGGTTGCGAGTTCAGAAAGTTTAAAGGTGAAACAAATTCCAGACATTGGTCTGCCAGTGACTTGCGTTGAGCAAAGGCCCACTCTGCCCTCTTTGACTCTGCTAGGTAGTCTTCTAGCCTAACTTGTGTCCTGCCTCCAAAAGCCCAGGTTGTCCGGCTGTCCCTAAACCTAGCTCTTCGTCTTAAGCCGAGTGTATCCCATCTCCGATGGGCTTCTGCAGCTGTAGATTGTCTACGCCGCAACTGCGATGATGAGACCAGGGCAGCGGTGGCGGTGGGCATGGTGCCGTTGCCTATCGGGGTGTGCGGCTCTTGGGAGCCCCAGGCCAACTGTTGTGGGCACGACTCCACGCTGCTGAGTTCGCGATGTGATTGGTGCTCTTGCTTGCAGATGCTGATGCTGCTATATGTTGTCTTTTCTTGTGAGCCTTGCGGTGGTAATGACGGCGACAGCCGCGAGGACGACGATGCTGATGGCGTTTCTATCTGTTGGTGGCTGATGCCGTCGAACATGGTGTTTTGACGATGACGAGGATAGCTGTTGGTTGTCCTGATGAGGACGAAAATGGTGATGCTGTGTTTTGCCTTGAGGCATTTCTTGCGTTCAGGCGTCGCTTATCTCCTCCACTCCTTTGCTTCGGATTGCACCCCCAAGCTTGTTTACGACTTCTCAGGTCACTCATGCATTGGGCCACATCATGAAAAATGCTGCGGGCTTACGTCACAGGGGGCGTTACGGGTCCGGGCGTTTGGTTGGGTTGTTGCTGGCTGTGCATAGTGACAAGCCTATAGGGATCGAGGATCTTGGCAAATGGCGAGTGGTCAGTTGAATTGAACATTGATTTCTCTCTGGGCCGGGTAACACTTCGGAAGGAATGCGGGAGCCAAAAAACACGTCGGAAGGAAGTTTACAGTTCAGGAGGGCCATAACTTGATGATGCTTGATGTTGAGGTCGTGCTATTGGGAGTTTATGCTTCTTGTTGTGGCTGCTGGTTGAAGCACTCCCTAGCCCTAGCATGCCGAGCTTCAGTCCAGACTCAGCGAGAGTTCAGTTCCGACAGTCTTTCGCTCAGGGTGCCCATGGAGTGACAGTTTATCTTGACAAGAACCTTCCAGGAAGCCCAATTGTGACTAAGTGTGGGACTGTAAATGTTGTTCGAGCGTGGACGGGCTGCGAGGCTTGCAGTGGTCGGAGATGGTCCTTTGTCAGACCAAGACTAGCCGAGCAGCAAGTGCATTCAGAGACCAGCAGCAGCTAGGCTTATACACTGCCATCATACTTGCTAGCCCTTGTCTTTCCGGAAATCCTTGCATCTTCCATGTAAGTGTCCGTCTCGTCACCCGAATCAGAACGCAGAACCACTGTTTCGGCACACAAAGTTATACAATCTGGGCACCTGTCTCCCTGATCAGTGGTGCAGATGGTCAGGAGGGCGTCGTCACTTTCTACCGTGGTCTCGGTGCCGTTCTCGTTGGTGCAGCTCCTGCGCAGGTTCGGATCACTGCTTGCTGCTTCCCTTTCATAGCCTCCAGGATTCTCGTGTATCTACTTTAATTAATCAGTGGAAGTCTAGAGTAATACGGACCCCTGAACGGGAACACAACTCAGAAGACGGCTGTTTCTTTGCATGAGAAGCAGATGCTACTTAAACCTTACCGTGAACTGATGAACCTGCTTCATTGCGTGCTGTTACTGGTAGTTACCTGGTAGTTCATGTGGTGGATTCGTAAGCGCCTCAGCTTATGCAGAAGATTCGGAGTTTAATGCAATCATTCGTAGTGCTTCGCAAGATCGCGAATGTAGACTGCACCAGGCTGGTGATTTGGGAAGTGCGAAATGCGGAGGTAGCGTACATGCCAACAAGTTGCCTTAGCTTATGGAGAAGCAAAGGTTTGTCCCACCCCTGTTGGCACCCCACGGATGGAGGCGCAAGAAGTATTTAAAGCCATGGCACCATGTATTGCACACCCTCCCATCTTCCATCTCTTTCGGTCACAAGGCAAGTTCCCGGTAGAAGTCCGAAGCACCCAACAATTCTTGTACAGCTGATGCAGGGCCTCTACTTTGGAGGCTACGAGACAGCGAAAACCTTCCTCGGCGGAGGTCGGAAGTGGAGCTTTGGCACTTGACGTTTTCGGGATTAAGGCTTAGGGAATCATAGCTTCACTGTGCGGCTCGTATGTCAAGACGGCTTGGGTGCGGAGGTCAAAGTGGAGTTGGAAATTTTGCCTCTGGCATTTGCGTCGGAATCTCAGCTTTCTCGGGGCCTAGCACAGGTCGTGCGAACGGCCCACCCCACCACGTGCCCAAAAGT